ATCTATGTGCATTTAACAAATTGGTGTTATACAGCATACTACTCCTACACAAACGTATACATAAGGCTGTATGTATCTCACCGGACTACACCACGTAGAACGAAATAGATCATATCTGCATCAATAAAAAATTTTAAAGAACAATGGAAAATGTGAGAACCAGAGGAAGGGCTGATATAGCTTCAGATCATCACCTGATGATGGTGAAGATGAAACTGGGGCTAAAGAAACACTAGACAACTGGGGAAACAGCATTACAAAGGTTTAACAAAGTCTTCTTTAGACAATAGAAAATGTGAGATGTCACTCCACCAAAGATGAAAGAAACCAGGATGACCATCAGACGAATCACGAGCAGGAAAGCAGCAGGACCTGACAACATGCCGGCTGAAGCACTAAAGTCGGGCTTCGGAGTAACTACAAACATGCTCCACGTTATCTTCAAGAAGACTTGGGTGGAGGAACAAGTGCAGACGGATTAGAAAAAAGGACACCTCACCAAGATTCCAAAGAAAGGATAAATGAGTAAATGTGTAAACTACAGAGGCATTACACCATTGTCAATACCAGGGAAAGTCTTCAAGAGAGTGTTGCTGAACCGGATGAAAGAAGTAGTAGACATTACGGAAATTTTTTCGCCACTGTAGAGTTGCTGAGATGATTTTCAACATTATCCAAAACTCATACGACGGACTACGGTGCAAAATAGTGCAAGCAAGACCGCTGACGGAACTGGAGACAGACAAGGCTCTCTACTATCCACCTTCTTCTTTCTTCATGTGATCGGCTGGATTATGTAGACCTCTATATCTGAGGGAAAACACGGAAATAATGGACAACTCAGAAACAGTTAGACAAGTTGGACTTCGCAAATGACCTAGGCCTCCCCATCTCATGCACACGAATGAGTGCAGATGAAAACAACTAGTGTGGCAGCAGCCTCTGCATCAGTTGGCCTCAGCACGCACAAAAGAAAATCCAAGATCATAAAATACAACACCCAGAACACTAATCAAATCATACTCAGTGGAGAAACCCTGGAAGATGTAGTATCCTTCACGTAACTTGGAAGCATTATCGATTAACAAGGAGGATCAGATACCGATGTAAAGGCGGGAATTAGCAAAGCAAGGGCCGCATTCGTACAACTAAAGAACATATGGCATTGAAAACAACATTTAAACAATACCAATTAGAGAATCTTTAATTCGGACGTCTAGACAGTTCTTCTGTACGGAGCTGAAACTTCGAGAAATATTAAAACCATCATCAAGATGGTGCAAGTATTTATAAATAGTTGTCATTGCAAGATACTCAACATCTGTTGGCCAGATATAATTTGCAGCAGCCTGCTGTGGGAGGAAACACACCACCTTCCAGGTGAAGAGGAAATTAGGAAAAGACCATGAAAGTGGATAGGACATACGCTACGAAAATCACCAAACTGCATCACGATAGAAGCTCTAACTTGGGATCGTGAAAGAAAGCAGAAAAGCGAAAGGGCAAAGTACACATTAGAAACAGATATGGAAAAGATAAATAACAACTGGGAACAGCTGGAAAAGATTGCCCTGGACAAGGTTAGATGGAGAGTGTGGTTGGTCGGCCTATGCTGTGCCACAAGGAGTACCAGACGCTAGTAAGTGATACGCTATTTGCCTCAAGAAATATTCTTTTAAAATAATTAAAGATAGTAGTGCCAATAATCTCAACATACAGTCGACTAAAATATTTCTGTTGATCTCACTTCATTAATTAGTCGTCTTCTTTGACCTACTTTCTTTCAAATTATTCAAGTAATATCGTATTCTGTATTGTGTGCTGCGCATAAAATTATTCATAATTAGAGTAAAGAATGTTGTTTTTTCTAATAGTGTGTAAATGTGACTGACAGTCACGTACTCTCGCGATGTAGAGTTGTGTGCAATTCTCAATTAGAAAAGCAATACTACTTTTATGATGAACAAACGAAGTGGAAACATATATTTTAGTTATCGGTTCATACGAGGTCTTGCTTCAGCTGTGAATAAACACTCTAACCATTTGCCACCGAATTTCAAATGAGTTAAGTTTTAGTTGGACTATAGAATCATGTAGTTTACATGTTTGCAGTTTATCAATCTATGGGACGCATATCATGTGTTGGAATCAAGATCATAATGAAACTTTGCTATGGTATTTGCGATGATGATACTGTAGTTGCATTAGATGTGGTAGGCTGCGTGGGAGGCCAAATCTTTATATCTGTCAACGTTTGCATCATTTCCAGCTGCTGCATTTGTAATAATTCAAATCTGGAAGGATCCATGTCTCCTAAACGACCTTCACCAATTTCGCTAGGTTTGAAGCTATTACGAGTTCACTTAGGATGCGAACGGAACAAAGAACTCTGACCGAAGGCCAATAAGCTAGGTAATCTGATGCGTCTCAGACCCTGTAACTAGAGAGAGAAGTGGAAGTTTGGAACGGGAAAGTATATTTCGTAATACCAGAAGCATAGGTAATAGCAACAAGCACAAATCAAACTTATATATACAGTATAGAACTGTCCTTGAGAAGCGTTGCAAAATACCATACTGAGATACACGACGGACCAAGAGCGTTAAAGATGCTCCCAAGTGGTAATTTTGAAATGAGGGTGAAAAGAGCACTTTTAGTAGGGAAACAAGGAAATTCAAATTCGTAAACTAAATTCACAAAATGAAGGTATTTACCAAGTGAAATTCGGCAACCTAACATCCCAAACAATTGTAAATAAATATCCGTGCACCACACTGTATGATTATCCTGAAGGGGTGAACAAATCGGTCAATAACTCAACTCTCGGTGATACGGTCAATCCTGATCACACATGTTGCGAGTATCTGTGATCCAGTTCCAAAAATAAATAAAATAATGGCTAGTAAAAGTTTTAAGTGAATAACTTTCGTACCATTGAAGCTATAGTAGTTTACCAATTCAAATCTCAATTCTGTATATAGACGAATCTCGCACAATCGGCCAGGGATGAGTGCTTCCAAATTAAACAAATAATGCATTATGTTTCATTCAGTACATAAGAACCGAAGTTATAAATAAGTAACACCCTTTATGTACTACTTGAAATACTTGAAGATTTTATTTATCGCGAATAGATTTGAGTAACAAAACTTCATTCTGATCAAACCCTGCTGGAGCAAGCTTGAATATCTTTGATAATTTTGTAACATCCATCTGTTTTATCGCATATTATTACATGCAAATGTATTAACTGAAAATACTATTGAACAGCTTCACTAATTAATATCGTCCAGAGCAAACGTTTCTTCACTGAAACGCATTCATTCGTTTCAACGACAATCGGTGATATACAGATAGATAGTAAGACGTGATTTCAGTTCCGAAATGATTATCATTGATTGTTTGTTGGTTTCCCTGTTTATATTTCATCTTCCCTAGTTTGTTCAAGCAGACACTCAGGTTTCGCTCCTCCGATTCCTTTGATACAACAATGTGTTTGGCAACTGACAAATACAGTTGAACGAATTAAGGCGAAAGCATTGTCCGACAGGATGAGATTATGCTCGATGAACAGTCACTGTTTGGCCTAAACACAACACGTGTTTCTTACGTCCAACTAAATTTGTTTGATTGAGATCATATACCGATTGATGATAGACCACCATTGAAAACCTGGAAGCAATGGACGGCCGCTTCGTCCTGTTTGGATTAAGGTCTCTAACCTGACGATTCTGTTAGGATTATGTGGTTGAATAATAAATATAATCATCACATTTATCTGCATACTCGCAACATAATATGAGTTTTCTCACAAAAATATACTTTTAATTAAGTTATATTGATAGTGTAAAATAATTGACATTGTTATTTAAAAACATCATTCTGTTGACCTCAGTTGTTTGTAAGAAAAACAGTGATTATAGTTTCTTGTTGTCTATCACTTCATTCTTTCTTATAAATCCGATAATATGGTATTCTCTATTGTGTAGTGGGCGTGAAATGAATCTTAATTAGAATAAGGAATGCCGCTTTCTAGTAATGTGTGTAAGTAACTGATTGTCATCTACTCACACAGAATAGAGATCAAAGAAATTCTCATTTTACAAATCAATAAACTGCTTGTTAGTGGAAACATTAGCACAAATTTTAGGTACAAATAAACCAGTCACTTATTCACAGTATTGCTAGTCAAAGCTAAAAACTTTTTCAACACAAAAGTTAAAGAACATCAACCAGCGCTTAATGAATATCAGCCCACCTCTTATGGTCACTTTGAATCATCGAATCAGAAACAAACAACAATACAACTGAAAAATCTATATAAAGCTGACACGTTCTGTTAAAATGTGATTACTATTTTGAACAGGAAGATGAGGTGAGTGTTGAGTGAACAAACGAATTAAATGAGTGTGTTATATGAATTTCATTTTGATTCAATAACATCACGTTATTCTGCTCATATTAACTATTTCAGATATATTCCTCCATTTGCTCTGTTAATATCAGTTTATTTGGTCGTCATATTGCTTTGCGATATCTACAATTGTCAAGACATCTGTCAACAACCTGAATTAGCGAAATATGAAAAAGTAATTTTCGTTAACGATTCATACAAATATGTAAGTATTCATCATTCATATTCTAACACACAAACACAGACTCATTATTACAATTACTCACAGAGAATACGTACTAAACAGTCAAATCCAGTTGTTAATGGCACGTTTGAAACATTTAATACCAGACAGGTGAGTTGACTACATTTCGCAATGAAAGTACTTAATCTTATATTTGCATCTTTTAAGGAAGTTCAGTCGAAATTCCCGTTTCAATTTCTCGAAGTTGACATTAAGCAATTCTGGATCAGTAAACTGGTAAAAGAACCTTTTTCTTTCAACTAAAATTGTTAACGAGTTGTGGTAATCACAGTTTGTTCCATGAATGTGTGTTTCATTTTCATACTCAACTGGTGAAACATTTGCTGTTTTATAGTAAACTGACTGAAGTTCATGCAATTCATCTTTGGCTTCAATTCATTTCGAATTATTTCATTCACACACAACAGAATTTTGATCAAATTGTATGTTTCCATTTTATAAATACAGGTTCAGTGTTATTCGTGAGTGATATACCCGGACTGATAAATCACATTATGCCAGGCAATTTTCTTCCTCAATTTGAGATGCTACATAACAGTGAGTTCTATTATTCAGTAACATTTTCAGTTGTTTTTCACACATTAACTTTGCATAAATGAATCAGTAATTTGCATGATTACTGCACGAAAACTGACCAATACACAGTGATTATTTTGATTGTGTGATTGGATATTTGGGCAAGTGTTCAAAGCACCTATTGGTGACTGTCAACTAAAGGTATTACTTAAAACAGGGACTCATTTCAAAGTACAGTCAAATTGATTCAGTAGAAATGATAAATTAAACGATGTAGTCACCTGAGTGGAAAGTAGCTATTCTCCAGTCTATCGAAACTACAATGCGGAACGTATGCCACAGAAACGATACTTCCTAGTAAAACAAATGAATCTAATTGATTACACGTAAAACTGTTGCGTGGCGTCGAGTTGAGATTAACTATGAACACCGCTACCAAGAAACACGTGCCAAATAAATCAGAAGGCGAGGGTTGGACGTAACCAAAGAAACCCATAAAATCCCCGAGAAGCCAAATATTAGAAGGCAATTAATGGACCAAGTCGAGTTATATTTGCTGGCGATCTCGTGGTATCGAAAGGATACCGAGATCGTGCCAGAATACAAGCTTGGTTACAGAAGGTAACCGAATTCGCGCGAAGTTACAATCAAAATGTATGTATAAGAATGGAAGCACAAAATAGCTGTCATTAGCACAGTCAAACAAAAGCACGTTAAAACAAACAGTGGTACAGTTGGTTATAATAATAATTGTTTTTATTAAACCAGTCGTGTTCTCGTGATAAATGTGAGTCACTACAAAACTATAAGCGAAGTTGTTCACGAGGCCGATTTGAGTTAATAAGCTTAGGAACACCTATACCATCCAGATCAGGTTCATTCATTTCAGTCAGTTATCGGAATTAAACACATTGGAGTAACATTTCTGCATAATAATTGGATCAATTTAGAGAACTCTATTTCATTCGAGTAACAGAATTTCAGAAAATGATTTAGTTTGGGTTTTTTCAAGTGGATATTAAAGGTCGTTTAGTCAGTGAAAGCTCCTACAATCAACTGTACAGCAGTAAAATAATATTCTCAGTTGACTGGATTAAAACCTTCATCATGTTTTCGAAATAACAATATTAATAAACTGTGAAACTTCCCCATAAGAAATAATTGTTCATTTAATTGTGCCGGTTCACTTTAATCTTGTAAGGTAGATGATTACTCGTGTGCGAATTCATTCTACGTTATAACGTACCTTTATTAAAACAAAATCATAGTCACTACACATATAGACAAAACCCCCTTTGATTTTCATTTTTGCAGATGAATCAATTGCTGTGAAATGGTATTTTCGGACACATGTTAATGATAAATGTAAGCGAACGTTGAATGATTATTTTATGGAATGTAAAATCTTACCACTCATTGTGATTGCTCACAATTTACCTGTTCAGTTTGTGCAATTCGTGTTTTCACAGTGGCTAGCTAATGTATGAATGTGCAGTGTTTCTGGAAAGTGGTGGAGAAGATTTGTAGCTCAGGTGGATGATTTTGGTGGAGTTTTGTTCTCTGAGCTGGATGGTTTGTTCGTGGAGCTTTCATCGTTCTTCTGAACGACATCATCAGCACAAACTGAAGAACGATGAAAGCTCCACGACGAAACCATCCAGCTCAGTGAACAAAACTCCACCAAAATTCCTGAAAGCGGAGACAGAATCATACATGTGGTCCACCGATTGTTTAAACACTTTTACTTGGACTTGAACAATAGTTGACATAGACTGAAATGGACTAGACTTGACGATTAATTAATGGACGAATGAAGATACAATGTCACTCCATTTGCGTAAAACACAAATGCACACATTCATCATCGCTGACAAGCTTCAATGGAACTTGATGTGAATTCCGTTTAGGTTAACAGCACGCTCTACACCTTCCCTTATCACATGGTAATCAAATCAGGACATCCTTAAGACGGTATCTCGGAAGCTATTCAGTTCACATGTTTAACAAATACATCTGTGTCCTTTATAAGCACTATGTCAGTGTCGGTCGATCGATTGATTGATCAATGTGTTTCTCGAGTTTCAATTGTAAGCAAACACTCCACAACACATGTCATGTAGTTTAAGAGCGGATTGTTTTGGGTGTGATTAGAGAAAACACCGCTCAAATAGAACTACCTGTTGGGTTTGGAAGACGAAGCACCTGACAGTAATTTTGAAGGAATTATATTCACTTCATCGACATGACGTTCACTTGATAATATTTGTTTTGTATTGACCGAGGAAAACATTCGTGATAACACAATAGGTGATCACTCAATCTGATCTTTGGTGAGTAGACATTTACACTGTCACATTTAATAATAACATGCTCATCATTTTTAATTTAGAATTTATACAGCCATTGACTTTTCTTTGCAGATCTTACAAGCAAGGTCACTAATCTGATACATCGGAATGGGAAGATATCTGTGTATTATGAGAACGTAAGTTGAATAATTGAATGGAAATAAACTTTTATTTCACGTACTATAGATTATTCTACTCATTCCTGCATAGCAATACGCTTGAATATATTAAGACATATTTAACACGGTGTAAAGGGATCATCACATTGAAATGTGCAAACAGAGTGAATGACACTTTTATAGTTTTTTTAGTGACACACATTTTCTTCACCTACTTCCTAAAAAAGTGAATCATTGGAAGTGAAGTACCATCAAACTAAACGATGATGTCGTCGAGGCGAATAGGAACAAACAGTGTATATGAGATTATCGTACGGAAACAGTCATCTTCAGTCAAACTCTATTTCGTCTTCTAAATATAAGATGTTCGAAAATTACACTGTTGAATATTATGAGTGACTTTGTGTTTAAACTGTTGATTAGTTCATAGTGTGTATATTTTGCGAGGATCAGTGTTCGATATTTCCAAAACGTCTTTTCAGATTCCTACGGAAATCGAGGATAGGCAGCTGTACACCTATATTCAAACTATATATTCTTGTGGAAAGACGAAGGAAGGTAACAATTTTTGCTAGTATTTTGATGCTTATTATTCTCTGTCAACACAGTTTGTTTCATGTTATCTTGCTTTCTGTTTGTTCTCAGTTATGAACATGTCAATATAGTGACTTGTTATTTTCTGTCAAAGTGATCTTATATAATTGTAATTAAGTCTATATGGATTCGAATGTGAGACAAATTGGTCGAAGTGCCATTGAAATCAGAATGCTTTTCGTAAACGCACTACCTAGACATTACTGTATACTGAATATCCAACGTCAATTATATGTTTACACTTCATGAACGGACATTTTGTTGTCACATTCAATAAAGAATCACGGTGAAGAGTAATCAAGAAAATGTCGAGTATTCTTCGAACAATATTTCACTGCAATTGACTGTATCGAGATCAAATTATCTTTGTATTCAATCCAACAACCGTCATATTTGTTACCGTTGTGAAATAAAGTTGAGTTGTTGGGGTGAATTCGCAGTAATGTAGTTCCAATTGTCTTTGATAAATGGCATCGAAAAGGAGTCTGAAGAGGCATATTTGCTGACGTTTGCTTAACCTGATATTTCTAGCGTTACGATCAAGATGTGTGAATGTCATTATCACGAAATTGTGGACGTACAATGGGGAACACTCACACATACGTTCAACGATGGACTGATCCTGACAAGGGTATATGACTGACAATATTCGAAAGACTATATATACACTCGTGTATTCACTCAAGTGTATTCACCCACTAAACGACGAGTGTGTCACGAGTTATACACATGTTTTGAAGATGTTGCGCTGATACTATTGCAAACTAAATCAGAAATTTAACGACATCATTTTTCGATTGCTGGTTGAACACCGGTCATATTTGAAACCAGTATTTGTGTGAAGCATATTTTCTTAGGATGCTGCATTAACGTCACTGTATCCGTAATCAGAAAAATTCATTTTAACATTTGTCACTCATGAAATGATGTAAACGAATAGTTGTTCATATAAAAGTAAATCAAATGTGTCTTTTTTTATTCAATTAGTTAAATATGTAGAATTAACTGAGATAAGTGTCCCCAGTAAATGGATCAAAAGTGACACGCTAGTGGAGATTGAACCAATCGAGAGTATGTTAAACCTTGTTTATTCAGCACTTTTTATCTACACACTTGAATAGATGACATCTTTTTCATCAAATTTGAAATGTCATGTGTAATTTTAATTGGCCTCTTAGTGACGTTACACTTATCATTAATAATTACAAGTCAATTTGCTGTTGGATGTCGAAATGACTAAGAAACTACTTCGAACTACTATAAGAGTCTTCATTTTGATGAAATGTACTGTGAAACTTCGCCACAAAACGATGGATGAGATGATATAGGCCTCGAAAATGTTAAACATCAGCTGGTATATAGCGTGTTGACAAGAATGTTCCCTTCGTTTTTGCAATATTGCATTGCTCTGAGATATTGAAATGCAATCCACGTAAATGTGATTACCTTAAAAATTGTAGTATAACTTCTGATATCTTTGCTGTTCCATACTTGTTCGAAAAGCCGAAAGTGTAGACAGGTCACGCGTACAAATCGCAATTCATGGTAGTCAATATACATGTAAAGCATCAACATTGCTGATAGTTTTCACGGTGTGAGTATGTTTCATTCCTTCTGGAATTTTATATTGAGCGGCTACAAACACTTCTCAGTTCATCATGTGTTAGACTATTAAAGTAGCGTTTCGAATACTGAGAGAGTCACTCCACAATCTGTTGTTCAGATCACCCTCAGCATTCGTCAAATAAAATGTCACAAATTGTCGATATATTTTCATCATTCCAACTTTTCGGACATTGAACAGGTGTGATAAGAATGTCCTAGTGAAAGTAGGAGCAGATACCCAACTCAGAAAGCACCATATTGCCACGGAGTTTAAGTTACACAGTTTGCTATTCACTTATCTCTTGTTTGATAACTTGAAGTGCAGTCACACTATTTTATCCACAGGTAGTTGTTCAAAGCATAGTTCTACTGACGAATGCCAAAATGCGACAACATCAAATATGAGGTGTATTTGGTGTGAAACAGCTAATATGTGCATTATTAGCAATGATGAAGATACTCATGAATTGAAAGTAGATGATTGCCGTATAAAAGTAAGTAATTGTTAAACTTCATAGGTTGCCTTAAACATTGCAATATTTCACATTGTAATTCCTTTAACTCGGAAGAACACTTTATTATTGCTTCGAATACGTACTGATTCGTGTTCATCCCTAAGTGACTAAATCAAAGCTTTGTATGTGTTGACGACATCAAATCACGTATGCGTACAACGCTTGGCATGGTAACCATAAACAATGAATAAAAACGTTGTTTAACGTAAATGCTTCGAGTCATATTAATTTATCAGCTCAGTGATTTCAGAAATCAAATATGACACCGTATATCTATGTTGTCTTCAAAATTGAAAATAACGTAAAACGAATGATGAATTATTTGAGTAACATATTTTGTTGAGTATTATTCCTACTGTTTTCTTTTCTTCAGAACACGACCGTACACACACACGTGACTGAACACAACAAACACAATAACACACTTCATTACCTGTATATTGGGATACCGATTGTCGTCTCATTCTGTGTTTTATGTATTGGATGTTTTGTTGGTCGGTGGTTGTATAAGAGGAGGAACAGTAATTCATGATTCTCAGAAAGTTCATATCACTTGTTTTTATTAATTTGACCGAGTTGTTTTCATTTTGTAATTCATCCGATCACTTCACATTATGTTGTCCGTTTCAATTTGCTGAACGCTTTTCTTTATGCAACTTTGAATCAGTTTTATGATTGTTAACATGATAACTGATGTACTTTTGTTGATAAAATAGTGATAGTAATTTTTAACATTTACGTGGTTGTTTTAATTTAATAAAACTTGAATAATATTGCAAGAGTTATACAGGATTTGATTTGGGAATTGGCAGTATTCTGTTTACGACGCTTAGTGATAATTGCAATCAACAATTATTCTGTTATGAATGTCTATTTCGATAAAGTCCTACTTTTGAAAGATATCATTTGATATTTACGATGGTCGTTGTTATAATCTGAGCTGTCAAAATAATGTATCGGTATTAAATTAGACACTTCCATCCTTCGTTACATGACTAGTCACTAATTAGTTAGTGCTGGATGACAAACTATAGTTAGTTAGATAAGATGACGATTGATTGTGAAATATGTCTGCAGAGTTGAATGTATACTCAAGTGGGAATGAGTAAAAATGTATACTGACTGAGGTAGCAACAGTTTTACCGTAGGATTATCGAGTAAGATAATAGAGTTGAAAAACAATCATTACGATATTTATGCCAGTTGACGAGCATTTCGTTATAAACAATATATTCAGTAATTATTCTCAGTCACACGTAATTTTGAGAAAGGATGTGACGAAGATTCGTTCGTACTGTTTGTTCGGATGTTTTCGTTGATGTTAAGGACTGCAATTGATCATTCATTTTACGGTCTACGTTCGTCATGTAGGAGTTGCTTCAACAATCCCATTACGTCACGAGTAATAAAAACAGAAATGGATGATATCTAACAGTAGAACACCAGAAACGCGTTACTTTGTCATATTTGAGACTCGTCAACTTTATATGACTCAATCAGAGTCGATGTTCACTCCGCACACTATCACGTCATCTGTCTAGTTTTGAAGTGCAGATACACACCAGCTTTACAGATAGTTTCAGTGAAACACATATAGGTGTGCAAAGATTTCGTAAATGTCAATCACGTGGCAAACTGCATTACCAGAAATTATGCCCGTTTGTCATGCTGACTGTTCCACTCGTAACAGAAATCAACATAGTCATTTAGTTTGTACGATCACTGTTCACTTCGCATCTTGTAATACCAAATCACGTAATTTTAATCCTAATAAAAGTGGGGTCACTGATAATTATATTTTATTTTTGTGTATTATTTAGAAATGTTCATTTCACGAGTAAAAGCAACCACATAACTACTCTGGTTTGTTCCATGATTTTATTGTTAACACTGGCAATATACAGCTGATTATTTCAGCCCTGGCTAAGTCAGTAGAAAATCTTAATTTGGATTTGTCTTTTCCAGGTTTAAAGAAAACTACATTGCTTTAATTAAAGACCTGAATGCTGTGTGTTTTAAGGGATTTGAAGACAGGACCTCAGGATTTGACGTTGAATTTCCCATTTTCCTTATTGTATCCACTCCCTATTTTTAAATTTTACATTCAACTACTTAATGTGATATGCAGGAATAACGTCTGGCCTTGAATATCTACTAGAAACTTCTCTAAATTGATGGTATATTATGAACATAATCTGCTAGTGTAGATTATGTATTTACAATCTAGAGAATTGGAGTAGTTTTAAGAAACTAATCAAAACGTTACTACACATCAGGTTTTATCAAGAAAGATTTAAACGCCAATGTGGACCGTAGATATCCGGAGTATCTTTTGACGATCTTTGTTAGAAATTTCAGGTATGGCACACGTTTTGATGGCTGAATATACAATCGTGTATATATATATATATATATATTGCAGAGCTGACAATTGTGAAAGATATAATGGGACAAAAAGTTATCCTTCAAAATTAGCTCTATGACAAGTGTCATCTCAGTTTCAGGAGAGAATCGATCCGGAGTGCTCGTCAGTACTTTAAAATTGTTGCTCGTCAGCATTGTGTTATAGCCCAAAGCCGCTTATCAGAAGCAGCAAATTATCGATCGGACCAAGGACGCTTAAAACACGTGCGAGCAGCCTAGAGTCCTGATTGGTCCTGCCCTCCGCCTAGCTCAGTCGGTTAAGTCCAGAACACGAGTCTCAGTGTGTGCAATATGAATCATTATATTTCCAACTTACTGAGCTTACATACTTATCAAACAGACGACAACGTAACATAGAATGGGAAATAACATTTGTACAGAATTTGACCAAATGTGGCTGTTAATCTGGGAGGCAGCGATTAATAGACAGGGCATAATTCAAGAATGGTAAAACGTATAATAATGGATCATAGGTCAAAATATAGTTTATAATAGGAGGAACATGAATAATAATAATGGTTTAGTTGTTTAACAATTATACGACAAAAATGTATGTTTAGTATTGGTCCATAAATGGATCCCAAAGTTACCATCAATTATGTTTATCGAGACCTAACACATTCCGACATCCGTTATTTGTGATCATCAAACACAAGCACTCACTGCGGATTTGTACAGAATAATGGTGGATAGAGTGTTACCAACACATAGGTGGCTGATATATTTGTGTATCGAATAATGCACAATTCTCGTCAATCATTGGTGTTTTCCAACTGACTAATATACTTCAAATTCCACTGATCTGTACATAAGTTAGTCTTATCCAACCAGTTATAGAAATTATATTGAAATCGTGTTCGCCTTCAAATTACCGCTTGAACAAAGACGGTTGCTACTTAAAAATGCGGATATAAAGGAATGGCCATAAGAGAAATGGCTATTTGCAGAAGCTAATTAATCATGTAAGGTTTTTTGAATCAGGCGTGCTTGAGTATTTGAGGTTTATTTTGACCTATCAATTTTAACGATTTCCAGTCCCTGAACGACAGCTCGTCGAAGCGTTGTAAGAATAAGGATTGGAGTTCGAAAGGAAAGACAGTACTTCGGCAAGTATTTGGTACCTAAACCAGTGTGAAAATTGCTATTGAGACTTCATCACACCAAAATAAGTTCATTCATACTAGATCTTACCCTTTTTATCGTCAACAAGTAGTTGGTTCATAGGAATGCTTCAACATTATGGCAACCTGCTATCAAAGTATGCTCGTCTACGTTTTGTAGATAACTAATAAATTGACTAAGCATGCCTATATCTTATTTCTGCAATGATGAAATGATTCGGTTCTGTCGAGTGCAATTAATTTTATCAAATATGAGATATATGTTCTGTTATCAGAGTGTTACTTACAGTTGAATACTAACACAAAATGGAACATAACAGCATTAGGTCCCTTCTTTTGAAATAATTGGATATAATAAATAAGTTTTAATATATATATATCCAGTAAGAACTAGTTTATGCAACAATTTTTCAGACCATCCTTACCTACAGACAATTGGCAACTTGTCGAAATAACACTGCCTGAATCGAATAAACCTAATGTGACAATCACAAGAAACGTTTGACATAAAACTAATGTAAGCAGACATAACATAATGTCTAGGCTGACCACAAGAAACAAACCTATCCCACGCTTGAACATACAATTATCTAATAGGTATTATGCAAGTGGTCTTGACATTCCTCTACACCTTGTCAAATATGTACAGTCACGACAATACGTTATAACTCATTTACTGCCTGACGGATATTTCTATTCGACAAGCGTCAAATTGGTGACAACATTCTTATTAATCATGTCTAAGTTTGTCGGTCAACGAATATCCGTGGTTCTTCCTGCGTTGTACCTCCTTCAGTATATAGATTGGAACCATCCAATATTTAATCTCCAGTCGTCTTTGAATTACACAACATGAATAAAGACGTTGTTAGCTATATCACACCCAGATACTTTGTTTTTAGACTCATATCAGTCAATAAACTAACAAGTATGATGTCTGTAGAAAAAGTCATAGCATTCTTTGACAGAAAGGTTTTCGTACATTTCTTTCACTCATATTGCTCTTCCTTAGATTCAAAGTCATTTGAATTTTCAGATGTACCTGTTCCATCTCTGTGACAAAAGATAAACGTAGAGTTGACTCTCTAATTAACCTTTATGAATCTCAAATAGAATAGCGTAATCAGTGTTCTCAGCAGCCTTACTGAATGAGTCTAAAAACAGGCTCACACCTCAACATGTGGTTTATTTATGTGCAGTAAAATCAGTGTCACAGACATTTTCACTTCTGTGAGCTGTCTCAATGTATATGGATTCAAACATGCTTCTCTTAATTTCAGTGTGCGCCTCATTGTGTGAAGTTTAACTTACCATGGTACAAAACAGAATACTAGTAGAGGTCATTCGTGTGATGATGAATTCCAATCAATACTATAGACGCACTACTAGTCACAGTGAGTTCACACGCTCAAAAAGACATAATAGAAAATTCGAAGAAGTTTACTGTCGAGATATCATTTTAACATATGTACAAGTAAACAAATAAGTTGAAAGCAGTGACCGTTTGAAGAATGTTGGTTCTCGCTCTCATCAAACTATCTAAAAGCACTTCCTTACAATATAGGGATTGTAAAACTTCAGACTTATTAAGATATTAAGATGAAGATACCCTTTTCAAATGCAATAAGCTAGTGACTACCATGTATATAACTGACTTAATCACTAATTCGTGTTATGCACCATTCACATTTCTGAAAACATATAGAACTATTATGTCCAATGGATAATTAACATGAATTAAACATCATCTATTGAACATCATCATTTATGATGGCACTTGCAAGAACGTTACACCAAGACAAATAAATTCACAGTAGCTGCATATTTTTTTATCGAACTAAACAGTTGATTAGCGGAAAAACCATTAACCATGAGTTGTCATCAACTATTAGTGACTTCAATGCACAAAATCAAATTCCTCTAATCAATAAACGCGTCGGAGCTGAGACTAACAAGCGAGTATTCATAGGCTACATATAACGCGAATCTCTCAGGTCAGGGTGATTTTTAGCTCGCTTTCCCAAAACTAGCATATCTCGGAATGGGTCACAAATGTTTAAATGTAACCGCGAATGTCCGTTTCTCCAAGAGCAAAAACCAAAAATTCTACAAAAGAACCAACCGTATCGTTCGGAAAATCTCAACCAAATTTAAATTTGATGTGAATACTTAATTCGCAATCTTTCGAGAACAAATTGATTCGAAATTAGATTTTAATTTTGAGTCGT